TCTCTAATCTTCAGTTTCAGTCTTCGATATTCGCTGAAGGTTCTTTGGTGTGAGTGTTGTCTTCTTGAAGTATTGTTTGTCTCTAAGATTTACAACACAAGTTTCTCAGCGATCACTGAACATACTCAGCGTATGATCGCTGGAACTGAGAATACAGAAACAAAATTACATCGATAGATAAAAGGGATTATCATCAAATCACTGAGAGAGATGATCAACACTAACCATGATGAGCTTATATCATATAACGAAACATAAACCCGTCAAACGATAGTTCATTATTCGTGTTCAAGCATATATGCCAAATTCTTGTGTTCCTTAAAAGAAAAGATTTCTATCTATAACGCTCTCTTTTTAGTAATGTGGGGATAGGGGCGGATCCACCTTGTAGGAGGTGGTCAACCAACCCCAATTAATCCTTTAAAAAGATAATTTTAGTTACCTTCCAAAATTTCCCCCACACGTTTATAGCTCCCGACCTTACTAGAATTATGAACTTATGATAAATCTTTTACCCACATTTTTTTTTATCTCTCAAATACTTTTATCCCACTCACTACTAAAAAAAATGGTATCATCGACGGATTTTTTTGGCGGAAATTCCGTCGGATATATTCCCGACGGATTTCTGACGGATCCCCAAAAAGTCAAACAAAGTCAACGTTTATCCATATCCACCACAGATCCCCCACAGAATTTTTTGGAAAAAAAAATTAAAATTATTTAAAACTGATTTCTGACGGATTTTTTGCTTATTCAAAACCGTCACAAATCTGTCGCAAAATTTGTCTAATTTATTTAAATAAATTAATTAGCGTTAATCCAAAACAATTTCCAACGAATTTCAGACGGAATTTAATTTTTAATAAAAACAAATCGAATTCCGTCGGAAATTGTTTTGGATTAACGCTAATTAAACCTATATATATATATATATATATATATATATATATATCTTTGTTAAAACATTTTTTCTTTTAAAATTTTCGACGGATTTCCGACGGAATTTAATTTTATCCGTCGGCAATTTTAAACCGTTATATATATATATATATATATATATATATATATATATATCTTGTTAGGAAAAAAAATAAAATAAAAACATTTTTTCTTTTAAAATTTCCGACGAAATTTTCATTTTATTTAAAAAAATTAAATTTCGTCGGATTTAATTTTTATTTAAAAAAAATTTAAATTCCGTCTGAAATTTTAAGCCGTTATATATATATATATATATATATATATATATAAATTAAAGTCTGACCTTTGTCACCAACGCTTCTTACCTCTCACTACAACAAAATCGGGTTTATAGGACATTCTCAATTTCTAAACGTCTTAATATATATCTTTATAAGACTTAGTTTATAAAACCAAAAAAATAAAGTGTCGTATCTAAAAGCGTTGTCATAAGTTTATATGACGTTTTTTAATGTCGTAATAAGTTTTTTATGACACTTTTAATATAAAGCGTTTCATTAGCAACTTTATAAGACACTATTTCAAAAATTGTCCTATAAAAACAAATGTCCTATAAAAAATAGAGTTTATAGGACACTTTCTCAAAAGTGTCCTATAAAGTTGCTAATGCAACACTTTATATTAAAAATGTTCTAAAAAACTTGTTAAGA